GTGGCTCAAGCGGTAGCGCGCTCGCCTGGCATGCGTGCAGCCCGGGTTCGATCCTCAGCACCACATACAAAGATGTTGTGTCCGCCGAAAACTAAAATAAATAAATAAATAAATATTTAAAAAAAAAAAAAAAAAAAAAAAAAAACACATCTATATTATTTGCACCTTCACCTAAGCAATTTTAAACTGGCATTTGTCTAAACTAGTCATAAAGAATCCATTACTGGACAGGATGCAGCAACACCTGTAATCCCAGATACTTGAGAGGATGAGGCAAAAGGATTGCAAAATTTGAGGTCAGCCTAGATGATTTAGTGAGAGCCTGTCTCAATATTTAAAAATAAATAAATAAATAAAGAGGGCTGAGGGTAGAGCACTTGCTTAGCAGGGACAAAGCCCTGGGTTCAATCCCTATTCCACAAAAATTAAAAATATAAAGAATCTGGGCTGGGGATGTGGCTCAAGCGGTAGCGCACTCGCCTGGCATGCGTGCGGCCCGGGTTCGATCCTCGGCACATACAAACATACAAACAAAGATGTTGTGTCCGCCAAAAACTAAAAAATAAATATTAAAAAAATTCTCTCTCTTTCTCTCCCTCTCTTTAAAAAAAAAAAAAAAAGAATCTATTTCCTTGGTCTATTACTGCTAATGTGTTACTGTTTCTGCATGTATAATCAGAGACCAAAGCAACTTTTTAGGAAAGATATTCTCTATCCCCATCTAAACTCAGTCAGTAATCAAAGCAAATACTCTATGGAAGATGCAGGCTTTGGCTTTGATTCCTGTGGTTTAGAATAAACAACAACACATCACACAACCAAGAAAAGTCTCATTTAAGATTAATAAAAATAAGTCTGGGGTTGTGGCTCAGTTGTAGAGCACTTGCCTAGCATGTGTGAGGCCCTGGGTTCAATTCTCAGCACCGCATATAAATAAATGAATAAAATAAAGGTCCATCAACATCTAAAAAAAAAATATTTAAAAGGAGGGAGGGGCTAGAGATGTGGTTCAGTGATTAAGTGCCCCTGGGTTCAATCATCAGTACCAAAATATAAATATAAAATAAAATTCCAGGGATGTTGTTTTGGTTAACCGTCAATTACGTCCTGGGGCTACCAGCGACCTTAGTCATCTTTGTCATCTCCATCACTTCTAAACAAGCTCACACCTACATCATACCAAAAAGATGGTTACTAAGTCTTTAGGGAAGATATATCATAATCACCCTTGGTAACATTCCAGTATCTTGTAGTCAGAAAGTTCTTTTTTTTTTTTTTTAATTTATTTTTATGTGGTGCTGAGGATCGAACCCAGGGCTTTGCACATGTGAGGCGAGCGCTCTACCCTGAGCCACAACCCCAGCCCCAGGCATGCAATCTATATTCCTTCTGTTGCAATTAAAATATATTCCCTCTTGTCCTGTTCTTTGTAGAAGAACATCTGCTTAACACCACCTGAACAATACCCTTTCAAGAGATTATAAAATATAGGAAGCCCATTTCAAACAGCTTCATATAAATGCAACATGGCTTTATATGGGTCACCTTAAACAAAGAACATGATTAAGAGTTTAAATTCCTAATTCCATCACTGGCTTACTCTGAAGATGATAGGAAGTTAAAACCATGCAGATGCAATGCTTCAATTATCCCATCAGTAAAATGCAAATAATAAAATCCAATGTTAGAACTTAGTTCCTTAAAAAGTTAAAAAATGAGATTCTGAGTCCCAGTCTAAGTTCACCCAACAATTCTCAAATCACACACTCTATGGAAGCTGCAGATATTAGCTTTGATCTCCAATTTAGGAAGAATCTTAGCAATAACATCAGTAACATATATTACCATAGAACTTTGTAGTTCCACTCCAATATATACCCAAAATAATTGAATATAAGTCCATGTACATGCATGTTCAGAACAACATAACTTATAAGAGATGTGAAAAAAATCCAAATGTCCATTAACAGGTATGTGGATAAACAAATTATGACATATACACTAAATGGAATATTATTCAGCCATCAAAAGTAACAAAATACTAATATATACTCCAATGTGGATAAATACACCTCCAAAACATTATGCTAAGTCAAAGTTCCAAACACAAATATCATAATATTATGATTTCACATATAAGAAATATCCAGAACAGGTAAATCCACAGAGACAAAATGAAGGCTGGTAATTGTCAGGGACTAGTGGAAGAGGGCAATAAAGAGAAACTGCTCTATTTCAAAGGTTTTTACTTTGCAGTGATGGAAATGTCTTCAAACAATAGGGAGTGACTGTAAAACATTTAGAATTAAACAAATGCCCCTGAATGGTTCACTTTAAAATGGTTAATTTTGTGTGAAGTATTATTAATAGCACCTCAATATGCTATTTAAAAAAAAATACTAGGGAGGTGAGGCTGTAGCTCAGTGGTAGAGTGCTTACCTAGCATGTGTGAAGCACTGGGATGGATTTTCAGCACCACATAAAAATAAATAAATAAAATAAGGGTATTTTTAAAAATGCTAGAACTAATGGGGTTTATATCCACAAAATGCTTAGCACTCCACAGGAAAGTTTTATAAAATTTTAGAAGCTAGGCATTGTGGTGAACAACTATAATCCCGCCTACTCAGGAGGATTAGAAGTTTGAGGTAAGGGCTGAGTTGTGGCTCAGCAGTAGAGCGCTTGCCTACCACATGCGAGGTGCTGGGTTCAATCCTCAGCACCACATAAAAATAAAAACAAGTAAAAATAAAGGTATTGTGTCCAACGACAACTAAAAAAAATATTTAAAAAAAAAGTTTGAGGTAAGCTTCAGAATTTTAGCAAAGCTCTAAGTAACTTACTGAGATCCTGTTTCAAAAAATTTTGTTTTTAATTAACCTTTAATTTATTTATTCGTTTTGTGTGATGCTGAGGATCGAACCCAGGCCTCACCTGTCCTAGGAAAATGCTCTAAAACTGAGGCCCCAACCCCTACCATGTCTCAAAATTATTAAAAAAGTTTTTTAAAAAGGGATATTGGGAATGTTGTTCAATGGTTAAGCAGCCCTGAGTTCAATCCCAAGTGCCAAAAAAAATTTTTTTTTTTAGATAGGACTGAAGACCAAATGTTTAATATTATCTTAATAAAGCCAATCAGAAAAAATAAATAAATAAAAATAAAGCTAATCAGACTCTAAGCAATAAATGGAAAACAAAATAGAACCAAACATAAAGCTGGGTGCAGTGGCGCACAACTGTAATCCCAGCAACTCAGGGTCTGAGACAGGAGGATTTCAAATTCAAGGTCAGCTTCAATAATGTAACAAAGCCCTGTCTCAAAATAAAAAATAAAAAGGGCTGGGATATAGTGCAGCAGTAAAATGCTCATGGGTACAATCCTTAGCCCCCCCCCAAAATATAAGGAAATAAAATAAAATATAGAGCATTGTCACAGTTATATAGTTTATTAAATGGAATAAGGAGCTAATAAATGAGTGAATGAATAAAGAGGTTAACTAAGGACCTCAGCTAATTAAATACACCAACAATGACCACAGAAAAGCAATAAGAAATAATAAAGACACGGACGGAAAAATAAAAGCCAATAAACCAAGATACAAAGATTTTTTCAGTAGGGAAGTGAAAAAAGAAAAACTGATGATAGCAAAGTTTAAAAGCATGCTAGGCTGTGCATGCCAGTAATCCCAGCAACTCGGAAGACCAAAGCAGGAGGACTGCAAGCTTGAGACCAGCATGAGCAATTTAGAGAAACCCTTTATCAAAATAAAACATGCTGGGCATGGTGGAGCATACCTTTAATCCCAATGGCTTGGGAGGCTGAGGCAGGAGGATCATAGGTTCAAAGCCAGCCTCAGCAAAAGCAAGGTGCTAAGCAACTCAGTGAGACCCTGTCTCTAAATAAAATACAAAATAGGGCTGGCAATGTGGCTCAGTGGTTGAGTGCCCCCGAGTTCAATCCCGGATACCTAAATAAATAAACAAACAAACAAACATAAGAAAGGACTGGGGATGTAGTTCAGTGGCATAGAGTACAGCACCCCTGGGTTATATTCTTAGTACCCTGAAGGTCCTTAGTTAACCTTAAAAAAAAGTCGGTGCCATTGTACCCCATGTTCAGGGAGCACTTCCTTTTTTTGGGTGGGGGGGGTTCTGGGGATTGAACACAGAGACACATTAACACTGAGCCGTATGATAGCCCTTTTTATTTTTTATTTTGAGACAGGGTCTCATTAATTTGCTTAGAGCCTCTAAGTTGTTAAAGCTGGCCTCAAATTTGTGACCCTTCTGCCTCAGCGCCTCAGACTCCCTGGTCTGGGATTACAGGTGTGTGCCACCACGATCGGCAATCACTTCCTTCTTAAGAGAAACATACACCTGTTTCTGTAACACAATCTCTCAGATTGTTCTCTTAAATTCCTCTCTTAAATTCCTTAGAACTTGTTCTGGGGCACTCTCCTCATCCTACTATATGAGACATGCATTTTCTTTAGTTGTAAATACCATCTATATACCAAAACCACCCAGACTTCTCTCCAGCGCAACTTCCGAGCATCAGCCAAAAGACTGCTTCCTTGAAGTCTCCACTTGTATTGAGGTATTCATTCCACTCCCCAACTCTAATCAAAATCTGCTATTCCTCCAATGGTTTCCATCTCAGAAATAGCACTGTCGTCTATCCAGATGCTCATGCTAGAAATATGGAATCATACTTTGACACTACCCTCCTCCCACATGACCAATCAATCATTAAGTCTGTCCTAATTCTAAAATATCTACTGAATCTTGTCTCTCTCTCCATCTTGCTGGCCTACAACCTAATCCAGACTATCATTATCTTTTGCCTGGACAACTGAAATGCATACTAACTATACTTCCCCCATTTCTTCTCTTTCTAAAACACTCCCCACAATGAAGTCAGGGTAATTTTTTTTGTGTGTAGGGGAGTTGTTTATTTATATTTTTATGTGATGCTGAGGATCAAACCCAGTGCCTCCTCTTCCGGGGACTGGGTTTAGAGGCACTCAGAATGGTTCAGCGTTTGACATACCGTCGTAGGCTTTCCTACAACACAGCCTCTAACAAAACCAGGCTGTCTCGAACCCCTGGTAATAGAATTGTTTATCTTTATACAAAGAAGGTTGGGAAAGCACCAAAATCTGCATGTGGTGTGTGCCCAGGCAGACTTAGAGGGGTTCGTGCTGTGAGACCTAAAGTTCTTATGAGATTGTCTAAAACAAAAAAACATGTCAGCAGGGCCTATGGTGGTTCCATGTGTGCTAAATGTGTTCGTGATAGGATCAAGCGTGCTTTCCTTATTGAGGAACAGAAAATCGTTGTGAAAGTGTTGAAGGCACAAGCACAGAGTCAGAAAGCTAAATAAAAAAAAATGAAGCTTTGAATAATAAAAAGTCAAAAGGCAAAAAAAAAAAAAAAAACCCAGTGCCTCATGCATGCTAGGCAAACACTCTGCCACTGAGCTACAGTCCCAGCCCCCAGAGTAATGTTTTAAAAGCATAAATTAGCCTGGGAATGGAGGCATATACCTGTAATTCAGCTAACTACTTGGAAGCCTGAGGAAGGAGGAATACTTGACCCCAAGAGTTCAAGGCTAGCCTGGGCAATCTAGCAAGACCCCCATCTCAAAATAAATTTTTTCTTTTTAAATACTGGGGATCTGGGCTGGGAATGTGGCTCAAGCGGTAGCGCATTCGCCTGGCATGCGTGCGGCCCGGGTTCGATCCTCAGCACCACATACAAACAAAGATGTTGTGTCCGCCGAAAACAAAAAACTACATATTAAAAAAAAATTCTCTCTCTCTCTCTCTCTGTGTGTCTCTCGCTCTTTAAAAAAAAAATTAAAAATTAAAATAAATAAATAAACACTGGGGATCTAACCCAGAGGCCACTGAACTACAATCCCATTCCTTTTAATTTGAAGGTCTCACTATGTTGCTGAGGGTCCCCATAATTTATTGAGCTTGTCCTTGAATTTGCAATCTTCCTGTCTCAGCCCCCAGTGTCATTGGGATTTCAGGCATGGGCAACCATGCCCAATTCAAAATTAATTTTTTTGATGTTTTATTTTATTTTTTTTTAAAGAGAGAGAAAGAGAGAAAGAGAGAGAGAGAGAGAGAGAGAGAGAGAGAATTTTAATATTTATTTTTTAGTTCTCGGCAGACACAACATCTTTGTTTGTACGTGGTGCTGAGGATCGAACCCAGGCCGCAGGCATGCCAGGCGAGTGCACTACCGCTTGAGCCACATCCCCAGCCCCTTGATGTTTTATTTTGAGACAGGGTCTCACTGAGTTGCTTAGGGCTTTGATAAATTGCTGAGGCTGGCTCTGAACTCATGATCCTAATGCCTCAGCCTTCCAAATCGTGGGATTACAGGTGTGCGTCACTTTACCGGGCCAAAATTAGAATTTTTAAAAGGGCTGGGTTTTAACTCAGTGGCAGAGAGCTGACCCACTTTGCGTAAGGTTCTGGGTTCAATCCTCAGTATGAGAGGGAAAAAAAAGCATAAATTAAGTCACGACATTCAAAATCTATAAAAACCTGGGTATGGTGGCATATACCCATGACCCTGCTACTCTAGCTGAGGCAGGAAGATTCCACATTTAAGGCCATTCTGGGCAAACCTAGCAAGACGCTATCTAAAAAATAAAATGAATTACGGATCTAACTCAGCTGTAGATCATCCCCGGGTTCAAACCTCAATACTGCAAACAATAAAATAATTAAAAAATAAACCAGGCATGGTGGCACATACCTGTAATCCCAGAATCAGAAAACTGAGGAAAAAGGATCCCAAGTTCAAGTCCAGCCTCAGCACCTTAGCAAGGCATAAGCAACTTTATGAGACCCTGTCTCAAAATTAAAAAAAAAAAATTAAAGGGATTGGGGGTTTAGCTCAGTGGTAAAGCGCACTGGATTCAATTCCCACTCCAATTTAAACAAACAAGCAAACTGGGCATGGTGGCACATGCCTGTAAAAAAATCCCAGTGATTTAGAAGGCTGAGACAGGAAGATCACAAGTTCGAGACCAGCCTCACTAATTTAGTGAGGCCCTCAGCAACTTAGTGAGAACCTGTCTCAAAATTATAAATTAAAAAAGGCTGAGGATATAGCACAGTGGTAAAGCACCCCAAGGTTAAACCCCTAGTACAAAAAAGAAAAAGAAAAAACAAACTTGTGATCCTCCTGTCTCAGCCTCCCAAGTAGCTGGATTAGCCATGCCTTAGCAACTTTGGGACTGAAACAAGAGGATCACAAGTTTGAAGTCAGCTTTGGCAACCTAATGAGACAGTCTCAAAATAAAAAATGAAAAGGACTAGGAATGTAGCTCAGTGGTAAACTGACCCTGGACTCAGTCCTCAATGGGGGAAGGGGGCAGGGGAGCAGCAACTGAGATTACTTGTTTGTGCCACAATGCCCAATTGCTTATTTTTCCAGAATTTTACCCAAGGAGATTTGTTAGCCTTGACTTTTTCCCTAAATATCATGTTTTTCCATTCATTTAGTCAACTTCCAAATCTCTTAAACACCAATCAGTTCAAAAAGATGGCAAAATCAGATGGTTAGCTATTTTATACCTGTTTTGCAAAGAAATGTTCTTCTAATCCTAAAATGACTCTGGCCTGTTTTGCTAAAATATCTTACAAAAATGTGTTATCTATCTTATATTTGGAACTCTGTTTCAGTCACTGTTGTTTTCAGGGCTTCTTACACCAGTAAAGACTCATCCTTCTGGTGGGTACAGTGGCACATGCCTGTCATCCCAGCAACTCACGAGGCTGAGGCTGGAGCATCGCAAGTTCAAGGCCAGCCTCTGCAAGTTAGCAAGACTTGTTTAAAAATAAAAAAAATAAAAAACTCAAACTTTTAATGTAAAGGGCACTAAGGGAAAGGAGGGATAACTATTTTGTTTTACCTTCCTCTTCCCTATTAAAGTTTTCTCAAAAGCACCTATATTTCAATCCAAGTATCAATATTATTTCTTCTTTTGAAGAACGCATCTTTACTTTGTTATACTAATAACAGTAATGATAATAAAAGCTGGCATGGGGCTGGGGTTGTGGCTCCGTGGTAGAGCGTGCTCGCAAAGCATACATGAGGCACTGGGTTTGATCCTCAATACTATATAAAAATAAAATAAAGGTATTGTGTCCACCTACAACTAAAAATATACATCATTTTTAAAAATAAAAAATGAAAAACAGCTGGCATATATAGTGCTATTCTAAAGGTTCTACATGTATTAATTCATTTAATTCTCACAACCGTATGATATTTAACAGCTGAAGAGAAAGACAGGTTAAGTAACTCACAGAAGTTGCAGAGCCAGTAAGTAGTGGTACTGGGATTGGAACCCACCCATACTATTTGGTCCCAGATTCAGTGCTGCTATGCTATTTATTATTCTAGAGTTAGGAAACAGACATTTTTCTGCCCTATTTTCACTGATCAGTAAGACTGAAATAGTCAATTTCACTCCCCAAACCAAACAAGCGTATTAATCCTCTCCAATTCAGCAAAATTAGGGGACATGGTAGTGCACACCTGAAAACCCAGCAATTCAGGAGTCTGAGGAAGAATTGTTACAAGTTTCAGGCCAGCTTCAGAAATTTAGTGTGCCCCTTCTCAAAAAAAAAAAAAAAAAAAAAAAAAAAAAAAATTTTTTTTTTTTTTTTTGATAGTGCTGGAGATTGAACCCAGGGCCCTGTGCATGCAAGCCAAGCCAAGCACTCTACCAACTGAGCTATATTGTATTCCCAGGCCCCTGTCTCAAAATTAAAATTTAAAAAGAATAGGGATATAATTCAGTGGTAAAGCACCCGAAGCTAATGTTGTGGTTCAGTGGTAGAGTGCTTGCCTAGCACCTGTGAGGATTGAGCTTGATCCTCAGCACTACATAATAAATAAAAAATAAGCACCCCTGGATTCATCCCCCCCCAAAAAATTAGATACTTTATTATATCACATAAGCACATACGCACATATAAACATCTAACACAGTAATTTTGGTTCATGATAGAATACATGTTCTATGCTGGGGGCAGTAATAAAGAAATGATTAAAACATAAAATGTTAAACTTGCCTCAGTTCATTCTACAGATAAAAGCACAATTCCAATAAGGAGTAGTAAAAATTGTTCGCAAGACACTTTTTAATTTCTTAAAAGAAAGGTACCAAACAAAATAGTAGGTATCATTTTATATACACTCAACAATGGCCCACACTTTTCCTTCTCTCAATTTCACAATTCTCCTAAGTCAGTCCCCTAAATATAAGGCTCATAAGTACTCCAGCTTATTTATTCCCTGCTGCAGATGCACCTGAAGGCAAATATCTAATATCCAAATATGTTGAACTCAACTTTCAAAGAAATTTAATTTGGAAAAAATTAATAAATGAAAACTAATTAAATTAACATTAAAGTGAAAGTTAAAAACCAGCCAGGTGCAGTGGCGCACATCGGTAATCCCAGCGGCTTAGAAAGCGGAGGCAGGAGGATCACAAATTCAAAGCCAGACTCAGCAACCTCAAGGTACTAAAACAACTCAGTGAGACCCTATAACTAAATGAAATACAAAAAAAAAAAAAAAAGGGGGGCTGGGGATGTGGCTCAGTGGTCGAGTGCCCCTGAGTCCAATCCCCAGTACTCCTCCCACACCCCAAAAGAATAAAAAATTAGTTAAGCATACTGAATATTTATATCATATATATCCTTTAAAATGCTAAATTCAATGTCATCTTATAATAAGGACCAGACAAATACTACATGTACCAATCTTAAATGAAGATTTTCATGTTGATGGCAGCAGAGGAACTTTAATTTACAGAATCATGATGTCATGATTGTAACTTTTCAGGAGGATTATGGATCCATGACTGGAGGCTCCAACCCCCGTGAACACCTAGTACCTGCCTCTTTCCCTTAATCCTCTGTTAGTCCTTATTTGTTGTCTTCAGAGCAGTTGCTTCTGCCTACATATCAGTATTTACCTGATTCCTGGCCAACTATATTCCCTACTAGAATAAACTCCATAAGTGTAATAACACCCATATGTACCTTGTATCCCAGAATCTAATTGAGCCTTCAATAAACATTTCTAGATAAAAAACAAGTCTGAAAACATATCCAAAACAATTCAAGTTAAGGCTGGGACATGGCTCAGTGATACAGCACCTGCCTAGAATGCGTGAGGCCCTAAGTTAAATCTCTAGTACCACCAAAAAAATAATTTTAAAAATTCAGGTCAGCTTACATGAATACATGCATACTCATATTTATTACAGTGCAACTCACAATAGCCAAGTTATAGAACCAGACATGGAACCAGCCTAGATGTCCATCAACAGATGAACAGATAAAGAAAATGTGATAAATACACACAATACAGTTTTTTTT